AAGAATAAGAATAAGAATAAGAATAAGAATAAGAATAAGAATAAGAATAAGAATAAGAATAAGAATTAGTGGGCACTGTCATCATTTTTGTTGGTCATGGCAGAGCTGGCTGGAAAACACAGGATGGCCAGTTTCTGTGAACTTTAGTCAGACAACAAAGTATACTATTTGCCAAATATTATGTAAAAGCATTTGTTATCTGTCTATAATTCAGATTAGTTATGCTTGTGTCTGCATATCCCTCCAAAGCCTCACGCAGTCATGGGGTGGGCCTCTAGGATTTGTGACTGATCCATGATCCAATGCTGGGATTATGGGTGTGAGTGCTACACCCACCCTGGGACGGGCAGCCTGCATACAGTGTAAGGGAGGGAAAGAGGCTGCTTGCCACCACTCCTCCCTTTTGCTCTTGCTGCTTTTGCTGTCTTCTGCCACCATGAACAGTTGCCCTCTGCCATGCGCCACTCTGCCTTGGAGCCAGCCAAGTATGGACCGAAACCTCCACAGACTGTGAGCTAAATAAACCTTTCCTTCCTTAATTTTGGGCATCAGGTATTTTGTCCCAGCAATGAGAGACAAATAACCAAGACAAGATTTAATCAGGCATCCTTGATTTTTTTTTTTTTTTTTTTTTGGTTTTTCTCCGGTACCGGGAACCAAACTCACGACCTTGCGCTTGCCAAGCAGGCGCTTTTGCAGCTGAGCTAAATCCCCAGCCCCTCCTTGATTTTTTTTATTATGCTTAACATGTCTAGAAGTCTCCTAAGACTTGTAAATAAGAACATAAAATATACATATGTTATACACCACTAGCTGCTTTAAAAGAAAACCCAAGTTCCTTAGAGTATATTATTCACTGGAACACTGGGAAGGCTACAATATGTGACTGGAAAAGATCTCGCTATGAACCTATAAATATCACTGCTACTTTTGATGGACCTATGGTTGGTCAAAGTTCTTTAGACATCCCATTAAGTAGAGCAAAGACAAAGGGTTGCTTTTTGGGGATGAGTTTTTCCTTCCAGTAGTACAGCTGGAACCCAGGGGCACTCCACCACTGAGCTACATCCCTAGCCCTTCTTTTTTAAAATTTTAAGACAAGGTCCTGTCAGATTGCCCAGGCTGGCCTCCAAGTTGAGATCCTCCTGCCTCAGCCTCCCAACTAGCCAGGCTTATAGATGTACACCACCACACCTGGCAAAAGACAAAGGTTTTAGTGTGCAAAATAGAATCTGGAACAGATCAGCACAAAGGCTGAGACGTCGAGCTGCTGGTGTTGTCTACCGCCATACCACCCTGAATGTGCCCGATCTCGTCTGATCTCGGAAGCTGAGCAGGGTCGGGCCTGGTTAGTACTTGGATGGGAGCTGCTGGGGTTGGGGTGGCCTGAGACGCGCTCCCATGATTCCCCGCTTGTTTTTGCTCAGCTCTGTCCTTGTCGCCCTCCCTTCCCCACAGCTCCATTTCTTTTCTCCACATCCATCTGTACTCGCCAAGCTCATTCTGTCACAAGTTTAGAATGTCACGATTTGGAAAGAAGTACATGAGGTCTTAAGTTGACCACGATGGATGAAATAGTCAAAGGTGTTCGTTATTTAACAAATATTTTATTATTTGCTAACTGCGGAGAACTGTTCTGGTTGGTCCCTCCCTTACACCTCCTTCGCTCCATTCTTATCCCTTACACTCCTTCCCTCCGCTCTTACCAGTCTTGCCTGCGTCGTGCTTCTTAAACTCGCGGAGGAGATCCGAGGAATGGGCAAACAGCTTTTCCCGCAGCGCTCTCAGCGCGGACTGCTCCACCCTGCTGACCCTGGGCCGGGAGGGGAGGGGACGCACAGAGGTTTGTTAAGAGAAACAACCACGGACTATGCAACATTTCTGATTTCTCTGGCTATCTCAGCCCCCTGAGAGCTCAGTTTTGTTTTGTGGGAGGTTTTGGTTTTTGTTTTGGTGGTGCTGGGGGTTGAAGCCAGGGCCTTCACGCTGAGCTCCACCCACTGCCCTTCTCTTTTTATTTTTGATTTTGAGACCAGGTCTTGCTAAGTCACGAAGCTGCCCAGGCTGGCTGGAACTTGGGAACCCCCAGCCATGAGCCCAGTGTTTGAGGGCTCAGCTCCGCCTCTCTTCCCACCCTGCTGCGGCCTTGCATTCCCCTGTGTGCACAGACAGGACTGGTATCTGCGTGGGTAGCCGTGTGTGTGTGTGCATGCGTGCGTGGGTGTGGGGCTGGTCTGCGTACTGTCTGTGGGCTATGCATGCGGGGCTGGTTTGCATGGTGTCCCGGGTGTGTGTGTGCGCAGGGTGAGGCTCCCGTCTCTGGACCTGCTGCCCTTGTCCCAGCTCCTGTCTGGCCGGCTGCCTGCTCCCCATCATCCGTCCTAGGACAGGACAGTATTGAGCAGTTCTGGAGAAAGATCACGCCTTTGGTAATGTTGTCTAACCAGCTTATGCCTCAATGCTTGCATCTGTTAAAGAGGGAGGTGAGTGGCACTGACCGTGTGGGATTGCTACACAGGGAAAGTGAGCAAATATAGGTCCGGCAGTGACACATAGAACACAAGCAGCACACGAGATTCATTGTCAGAACCTCACGCAGCCCTTACATCTTGCTATAAGGTGAAGCACTTTGACGGAAAGATTTATGAATAAGAAGTAATGAACTAATTTAGTTTTCCCATCTGATGAGGTCATTAAAATAATGCTGGGCACAGTGCTCCGCCCAAAAGAAGTGCTCAATAAATGTCCAAGGTTGAATGAAGCCAGCATAAGAAGAGACAAAAGGTTAGGCCAAGTGCTGCAGCGGCTTGCATGAATGGCTGTGCAGGGCGGAGGGCGGCAGTGTCCTGAAAAGCCATCATGCACAAGGCTCTCTGCCCCATCATCCGGCCACACCAATCCCGCCACTGTGCAGCTCTAGATGGGCTCTCTTTGTAAGCCCTCAACGGCACGGCCATTGGCATCACCTGGACAGCCAGGCCCCAGGGGGCTGTGCTATTCCTGGGAGAAGAGAGGTGAGCAAGAAGCGATGGGCCAGAAGGAGGAGGTCTCTCTGGAGCTTGCGGACATTGGGACCCAACTACAGCTCCCGAGTTTCTCGGACTCCGCGCCTCAGACAGCTTGTGCACTGGAGAAAGGACTTCTGGGAGAACTCAGTGCTGTTGAACTTACTTAGTGCAATAAATGAATCCTTCAAAGAGCTGCTCATTATCTAATCAACACACACTACCGTCAGGATTCCCTACAGTGGCTGCCTTTGTAGGGACAATACCTGGGTCCCTACCTGGAGGGTCAAGTTCAACAGGGCTTGGGCACAATCAGATTCTGGATTTTATAAAGCACTGCAGAGGATTTTGCTACACAGGAGGATTGATTCTTTCTTGGTGAGTTTATACTTTTTTGGTAACACTTCTTTTGAGTAAGTCTGCCTTATATTCAGTAACTCAAGGTGATTTAAAATAATCCACTTTCACAGCACTCGTGCAAGGTAAATGTTAATGTTAATGTGTTCTCTATCCACTTAGTTGAAGCTGAGCTTGTCCACTTTGATTTTTAACTTAGTGAGGCTGGATAATTAAGATGCTTGTTCAGTAATCTATATCTATGAGCCCCTTATATACCCAAGGTTCTGTCCTCCATAGGAGGAGATATTGGACAGATATTCAACACCCCAGGTATGAATAATGTCTCCAGGGCCAAGCCAGCTAACCTTGGCTACCCACTGGCCGTGTGGCCACCAGCCAGCTGCTTCATTCTCTGTTCGGAGAGACCACATCTATGAGCCTGAAATCAACAACAATGTCTATTTCACACATGCCTGGTGAGACAGTATACATAGGCAGTATACCTCTTTATAACACTGGGCAGAAGTTCGGATTAATGGTTAAAACTCAGAATCATCTCAACAGACACCATTTAAACAACAACACTACACGCTTCCTTCTCAGAAAGAAAGGGCCATCTTTAACAAATGCGTGCTTTGAAATCCGTTGCAAGTCCCCAGATAGTGGGAGGACCTTTGGCTGTGGCATCCGGAGGTGCCACGAACCTCTTGTGGATAAAAGAAAACAGAAAAAGGAATCTAAGAAGGCTCAGTACCTAATGCATGGACTTCATCCGAGAGGTCCTCACTGAGGTCCCTGCTCCTGCTAACACGGGTGAGGAGTGGAGCTAACAGCATAGGAGAAGGAAGCGTGTGGGGAAGCGTTTGTAAGGAAGCCTATAATTCTGTCCCCCAAAGGCCTGGTCCTTGGAGAAGGGCTGGGTCTTTTGAGAAGGGCGTTACACAGGGTCCTCAGACCTAGGGGAAGTGTCCGCCCTGGGGAGGGATCTGTGAGACCCACAGTCCCCAGGAGAAGCTGATGTGAAGTGAGTAGACCTAGCAATGCCCTCTAGCGCTGGGTTTCTGTCTCAAAGTATTTTCTTTCCTCCTCATGCTCTGAGGTCCTCACCAGTGGTCGAACCAACGGGGCCGCCTAGTCTTGGGCTTCCAGCTCCTACACTGTATGCTCAAAAAGGCTCTTTTCTTGGTAAGTAGCTTGCCTTAGGCATTCCATCAGAGTAACACAACAACAGATTAATATAAGACATCTACCATGTTGATTCTAGACTTTAACACTGACTTGGCTATATCCTGAATTCTCACATAGAATTGGATAAACACAATGACATTTGAAGCCTCAACATTTTTATAAGCAACATAATTTTTTCCCCAAAACCAGTCACTGTCAAGTCTTGCCTTTGCCTCATGGTGAGCGTGTGGGTCGCCTTGTTGGCCTGGTACTGCACGATGTGTGGAGTCAGCGCTGGCCCCAGTTTGACATAGGCTGCTCTGTTACTGCCCACTTCATAGTAGTTGGAGGCAGAAAAGATGGTGAGTACCTGGATCCAACAGAAAAGAGAGCACTCACGTTCTCTGAAGAGCCCTTGGTCTCCAGCCCCGCACGGCCCAAACCTCACACTAGTCAGTAAGGCTTTTTCTTTTCCTTCTTTTTAAACTTTGAAGTCATCAGTGTTACCCGGGCAGGAGTTGTTGGTTTGAACCATAGACACTTGAATCCTGATAGGACATTCATAACATGTTTTCACATTCTGATCCCAAATTAAAATGACAGGAGTTGTGGAAAACACCCTCTTCATTCCTCTTAGATGTGGGCAGCTGCGTGGGGCTGAGAGCTCTGCCTCAGAGCAGGGTTTCCCACAGAGTTGGCACCCCTGGGGTGCCCAGGGAAAGAAGTTTTCAGGGTCAATAGATTACTGATGTCAACCCCTTTTTTTTTCCAGAAACCTGTTTTTCTCCTGTAAAATTAGTATTCCTGGACATACAGACTCCCACCCCAGGGCACAAAGCTAGGAAAATATTATAGGATTTGGACACACCCAGAGGTTAGGCATGCCATGAATCATACTCCTGAGAAGAGAAACAACGCTGAGTCCCCGCTGTGTGCTGCAGAAATCCAGCACTGTAGCACTGCTTGGGACATGGGCCTGAAAGCCACGGATTGAAAGAATAGCGATGTGGCTGGGAAAGCACCGGCCTCCTATTTCAGTCCCCAGCATGGGGTGGCATATGCCCTTACCCTTAGTGGATGGGAGACCAGTGACTTTAATCAAACTGGGAGTTTCAGAGAGGCTCTGGAAGTCAAGAGTGAATGACAGAAAGGACTGAGGTACTTTGAGTGGGTGGGTAACAAATACACGTCACAGCCTGTTGTTAGAAACCTACAGACTCGGCTCACCCAGCCTGGGAGCGGCTTATTCGCCCACTTTGGCGGCACACACACTGGCAGCGCTGTGAGCACGCACCCACCTTGCGGTTGTGGCAGAATTCATAGCCTTCAGGTTTGCACTCGTGGGACCGGATCAGGAGCTGCAGGTTGTATTTCTGCAGCAGCTGCTCTGTCACATCAGGCCCAAAGTAACAGCCCGCTCCGCGGACGGCGTTGGCCTTGCAGCCCTCCTGCAACATGGGGTCACTCCACAGGATGTCCACCACCTGGGGGACCAAGAGGCAGGTGTCCACCACCTGGGGGACCACCAGGTCCTTCCCAGTCGTCCACATGAAAAGACAAGGAGGGAAATACCTGAAGAAAAATAAGCATATAAATCATGCAATCAAGTTTGACATACATTTATATTTGGGGCCCCACATTCTCCAGAATCTGTTATTGCTCACACAATGAGTGTGCGGGGGTGTGTATTAGTTGACAAGTATACACTGACTTTCTGGAAAACAGATCTCGGGTGCAAGTCAGTGTGGGAAGAGTAAGTTTGCTCTGAGGGAAGCTCTGGCCATAGCCAGCAGCGCTCAGCTGGAGTTGGTGCCCAGGCTCCTGAACGCTTCTCCAAAGAGCAGACAGGGGCCTCAGACCGGCAGGCAGGCAGGCAAGCACCACACCCAGGAAAGCACGTCAACATTTTTTTTTTTTTTTTTTTTT